CATAAGGAATCAAGCTATCAAGGCTGCGTTGGGTAACAAGATTAATGCTCCCATGATAATGGGCAGTTCTTGCTTGGGGGCATATGACTCCCAGCCAGATTAGCGTGTCCTTTCCTTGAACAGAAAGAGCAATCACGGTTATTGGTCAAGAAAATGCTTTAGGTAATAATTGGCTTTAAAATCTCAAAGTTGTTAAGATATAATAAGTAAATTAACTAAAATGAAGAATTTGGATAAAACCTTTTCAGTAATAATTACAAATATGTTAATAATGAAAGTCCAGTGACTCAAGAGGAGACTGACTGTGCTCTCTGTTGGAGGAAGGGGCCAGGCTGTTTAAAAAAAAAAGCCTAAAAGAGAATAAGGACAGACAGGAATGAGACCCTTGCCCTGCCTTCCCCTTCCTATGCAACCAGGGGAATGATTTGAAAGTCGGCTATGGCTATCTGGGAAAGGGAGCACCTGGCTGGCCCTGGTGTGCTTCCAGCAGATGTAAGACTTCCAAACCCGGGAGCCCCAGGGGGCGCTGATTGATGTTTCTAACTCTCTATCCCTCTCCCTTCCTCTCTGTAAAAAAATTAATAAAATATATTAGAAAAAAAAAGAGGCTCAGAAGATCTATGTACATAAGAATAAGAAAGGCAAAAAGCAAACTAACATAATGTTCACAATTTTAAAACAAGTGGCCTAGGGAAGGGCTGGCCCAGAGGGCCAGAAGCAGAGGCCACAGCAGTAAGTTTAACATGTTATCTCTAAGGAAAAATCTGGCAGTTTAAATCCAAGCGCCTAGAGGCCTGGGAACAGCCTCCCCCCTCCTCCTCCTCCTGCCTCTAGCCTCATATGCCTATACATAATTTTCCAAAGTCTTTGGTAACTTAAAGGCTCTGGAGCACTGCTGGATTAAATGATAAACATCTAAATATAGTTTTTTAAAACGGAAACATTGATTGCTAGACACGTTTTAATTTGCCTGCTCTTAGTTTTTATCACAAAAGGTCTCTTATACTTTGTTGAAGGTATAGTTTCTTGAAAGTAAAAGTGCATTTAAAGTACATTCATAAATGTTAATTTAAGAAATGCTGGCTGTTTACTTTTTAGTAATCATTGAAAAATTAAGGTTTCTAAGAATGAAGAATTCTAATTCATTTTTTTTTTTTTTAAAAAGAGAAAAGGCTTGTACAAGTTGCTGATGGTATGAGAGGAAGAAAGTATATTAGAGTAGAAATAATTAATGGAAGGACTGAGGCATGGTTATGCATTTTGAAGGAAAAAGGAGATGGTTTCTAAAGGTGGTTATTTCTGGAAGTTGTAAAAATGTTTTTGAAAGTTGTAAGAATGTCCATGGAAGTTATAAGAAGTTTATAAAAAGAAATGTTAAAAGGAAATTGATTAAATGATACAGGCCAGTAAGCCAGGACAAGCAGAACAGGGAAAATGAAATATTAAAACAGCAGTTTGACATCCTTCCTAGGGTTTGAATTTGAGGAAAAGTGTTGTTGTTGTTGTTTTAACCTAGAGTTGGCTGTAGGTGATTCCAACAGGCCCTGGAATGCCTCAAGATCTCCCTACAGTGGAAACTAGGGACCAATTTCTTAAGAACAATGTACTGGGTATCTCTTCTACTCTAATCTCTCTGAGGTTAGAAGGCCTCCTGACCCAAAGCCCTCTTGAGTTCCCGGTTCATTGCCATTGACCAGACTATTATGCTCTAATCAAGACCTGGAAGGGAAGCAAGTTGGAGCCCTCCTGGGAAGCACCCTTCCTGTCTTGCTCACCACAGAGACTGCTGTTTAGACTGCAGAGCGGGGTTGGACCCATCACACACAGCTTAAAGGCGGACACACCTCAACTTGGACAGCCATACCAGGACATATCCCCTTGAAACTGACACTAAAAACCGTGAACTCTCTTAATAACCGTCATGTACTGGGCTCTCTTTGCTTTAGGGATCTGGCTAATTGCAGGGGCTTACAATGTGGGCTGGAGAAATGAGTACAATCTGGATCATGCTTACCCAGTTAAGTTATTGAGTACAGATAACTTGAATGACTTGGATATTTCAGCCTTTAGCTCAAAAGATTGGCTAGGACTAGATTTAGTAGTAGATGTCACAGGACAAGATCTCCTAGGCCACTGCCACTACCATGCAAATAGAAGTAGGATATAAGGGAACGAATGCCTGGGTGGAATGGATTAAATATTCTGTACACGCCCTAAATAAAAGTGACTGTTACCTTGCGTGACAGGAAGGTGAGAGGCCCAAGTGGTCCCATTTCCACTCGGATGGACCTCAGACAGTAACGGGATGGAATGTCGGCTTGTCCTGTACCAGGAGGAAACCGCCTGGGGAAATGCTTTCTGTAAGACTCTCGCCCTGTTGTTCCCGTTCAACAGAGTAAAGAGCAAGGACCCCCAGAATGATCCAGCCCCGTCCTCCGATGTAAACCATACCTCCTGCCTCTCAAGGGGGGGAACAGTGCTCGGAGTTTATGAGAAATTTATCCGGATGCGTCCGTGGTGGAGTATCCTCAGAAACCCATCGTGCTGCAGTGTCGACACCCTGTGCTGATGCCTGGTGGTGTCATGGGGACCCTGACTTGGGCCTTGCCCAGCAGTTGGAGTGGACCTTGCGCTCTGATACAATTGGCTATCCCTTTCACATTAGCCTATCGTAAACCTTTTTCAATGGACAGACAGACCAGGGAGAGGAGAGAGTCCAGGGGGCCCCTTTGATCCCCATATACACACAGGTCCCATTGGGGTTCCAAGAGGAGTGCCAGGTGAGTTTAAGGCTAGAAATAAGATTTCTGCAGAGTTTGAGCCTGTCCTGTGCTGGCAGCCCACTGTGAACAAGAATGTGGTGGATTAGTTGTACTTACCCTAACCAGCAAAGGCTCGTTAACTACACTCGAGGCGCAGCTAAAGGGGTAGTGAACAGCTAGATGCCACCAGCAGGATGACCTGGGAGAACAGGTTGGGCTTGGATCTGATTCTGGCAGCAAAAGGAGGAATATGTGTAATTTTGGGGGCCGTTGCTGTACATTCATCCCTGACAACACAACAGACGGACCGTCACTGAGGCCCTAAGGCATTGGCAGCTGTAGCTGACGAGTGAGCTGGAACCTGGGACCGAGGGTCCTTTCTTTGATGCACTAGAGCAGTGATGGCAAACCTTTTGAGCTCGGCGTGTCAGCATTTTGAAAAACCCTAACTTAACTCTGGTGCCGTGTCACATATAGAAATTTTTTGATATTTGCAACCATAATAAAACAAAGACTTATATTTTTGATATTTATTTTATATATTTAAATGCCATTTAACAAAGAAAAATCAACCAAAGAAATGAGTTCACATGTCACTTCTGACACGCGTGTCACAGGTTCGCCATCACTGCACTAGAGCGATGGTGTCCACATTCGCCCCTTTGATTAGAAGTTACAGTGATGGGATGTCACATCATCCCAAGTAGGGGGGGGGGTCTTATCCACGGGTTAATCGAAAGCGCATTGACCAAACAGCAAATTAGTCTCCCCCTAGACACTGTAGAGCATGAAAGATGTTTGCCTTGCTGCCGGGCTCCCGAGTATGATTTGTGTTCTACCAGGACCCCTGGATTTGGGGGCTCGCCTTATTTCTAACACAAGAGAGAGGTCTCCACCTGGCCCCATGCCTTGTAAATTCATATTTCTTGTCTTGTGTTTTCATTTGTGCGTCGGTCGGCCCCTTCTTCAGATCCTGAACCGCCACCGTAAAAGGTTGCAGCGCTCCCCAGTCTCAAGATGTGGAAGAGTACCAGGTCCCAAATCGCCAAGTCTCTTGGAGAGGTGGTCACCACAGGGAGGTTTAGCGTGACAAAACCTGAACCTGAGGCTGTTCTCCGGTACTTGTATGTCCTGGAGCGTGTGACTGAACTTTTGGAGCCTCCATTTCCTCATCTGAAAAATGGGAATATTTCCTACTCACATGGGGGTGGTGATGAAAATCGAATGAATTGTTCTGGGCCGACCTTGCAAACATTTAAACCCTGCTCCCTTTGTCAATGACGGAGGTGACGAGCAGCGCAGAAGCGGCTTTCGCTTGGCCGCCCCCTGATCTCTCTCAGCAGCACCTGTTCTCTCTGGGTCTCCTTTGGATCCTGCCCACGACCCTGGCTCTACCTTGGGTGTGAGATAAACAGCACGGGCCTCCGCAACAGTGTGGGCCGTGAACAAGGGCTTGAGAGGTGAGGGGAGAAGGTGCTTGAGCCTCAGGGACACAGATGGAACTGTGGTGCTATTCTTCCTTTCTGAGATTAGGAGGTCCAGGAGTTAGAACTCTAGAAGGATGCAACTAAGTCAGGCTAACTCGGGCCAAGCAAGAGTGGGGTGGGCGCCCGAGGGGAGAGGCACGAGGCCTCGGGCGGTGGTGGATGGAGCCAGGCACCGAGGAGGTCTCTGCTTTCAGTTGCAGGAGGAGCACTGACCCTCAGCTGATCGGAGGACCGAGGACCGAGGGGATAGGCCCACTCCAGCTGAGAGGAGAACGCAGGGTGAAACGAGGACTCCAGGGGATGCCAGGAGCACCTCCCACCCTCAGGGGCCTGCCCCTGGCTGTCCTGGTTGTCCTGGGGGTGGAGGGCCAGTCAAGCACCCACTGGAGTTGTTCTGCCTGGCAGTCTAATCTGAAGGCTGAAAAGGCAAGGAGCTGGGGGCGTGAGCAAGGAGGAGCAAGAGGCCCCGGGACCGCACCTATTGAGTTGGACCCGGCACGCAAATTTTGTGACAAACCACACACCAGTATTCCTTAGCATGCCCCGCTGAGGGGCTGTTGGCAAGTGGGCTGCTGGGCAACCCCAGCGCACTGAAGAGTTTGTGGTGTGTGTGTGTGTGTGTGTGTGTGTGTGTGTGCAGCCTAGACCCTCCTTCCCACCAGCCTCTCCCCTCCCCTTCAGCCATCCTGGGATTGGTGATTCTCGGCCCCTCCCCCGGCTCCCCCAGACCCTCCCAGAGCCTTTATCAGGGAGCCGAGCCGAGATCCTGCCACATTCCCAGGTCCCCTCCACTCTCCGCTTCTCTCTTCACAGCAGCAGCAGCAGCAGCAGCACCAGCTTTGTGGGGAGCAGGGCAGTAATCCCGCCAGCTCCCCGATTCCACCATCCAGCTGTAGGCTCCACGCGGATCCACAGGTAGGCACGAGCGGGAGGAGGTGGGAAGGACTGAAGCTGGCACTGAAGGACAGGGGCCAGAGGCAGGAGAAATAGAGGAAGTGGCCACCTTTGGTCCGCCTTTGATCGGGGCACTGGGAAGTGAGAAGGCAGAAAGAAGGGGGTTGAGAGCCAGTGATGTTTGGAGCCTGAGGGTGCGGGCTGATTGTTCTGTACGAGAAAGTTTTGCCTAAGTCTAGGGGTTGCCTAGTGCTGGAAAACAGAGTCCAGGACCCCTCCTCCAGCTGAGTAAGGAAACAGACCCTTACACATCCTATAAATCCATCCTCTTCCTTTGGAGCCTAGAGTCCCGGCACCGTTGCACCGTTGCTCATTGCTGCCAGGTGCACATCCTGGGGAGATATGTCTGATGGGGGAGCAGGGAAACCAAGCCCAGGGGATGTCCCCACTGCTCGGAGATACTCTCCCCAGACCAGGGCTGGGGCAGGGGAGTCGGGGGCTGGGAAGCAGGGTCCAGCTGGGCTGCTGGTGGTGAACGTTTCCCCTCGTTTTATGTCCTCCTCCTCCTCCCGCCTTCCCTTCCTGTGTCTCTGCACTCTTAGCACCATGCGGAGCGCCCTGCTGTTGGCAGCCTGCCTGGCCCTCTGCCTGGTTCTTGGGGCCGTCTGCAAGGAGCCACAGGAGCAGGTGGTACCCAGGACGGACCACAAGAAGGTAAGGTACCCCTCCGGCCTTGGCAGAGTCCTGGGCAACATCATGGGAGCAACGGCTTTGCTGGTTCCAAAAGCTGTAGGGGCAGGTGCGGTGGTGGAGGGGCGGCCGGTGGGTTGGGAGTTACCGGTTTCTGTCAGAGGGCTGGGTTTCCCTGCCTCTCTGCTCAACTCATGTGCTCACTGTCTTGGGTATGTCTGTAAGGATCTCTGTCCCTCTGCACAGGTTTGACACCTTGTATATAAAAGGTGCCCTACCCATCGGATTGACTGCTGGCTAGGTGATGAGGTGGTACTTCGAGGGGTAGGCGGAGGAGGCCAGGTTGGTCTAAGGTTCCCTGTGGTCCAGCTCAGGTTCAGGGTCTGTTCCTTTGAGGCGTGTGTGTGTGTGTGTGTGTGTGTGTGTGTGATGGTGGGGGAGAGGGGAGGATGGCGAGGGGTGGTGGTGGATGAGGGGATTCTATCTACTCCCTGGAGGTATGAAACACAGTCAGAATTTCTCCCCCAAATGGTCATTTGTATGCTATTTTACTGATCAATTACGTGTATTATTTTGTTTTCAAAATTCAAATAAACTCCCTCATCCACCCTGTAACTTCAGGTGCTCCTAAGATCCCAACCCTTCCCTCTCTCCTCTCCTTGACCTCCTCTGGCCTCTGCTTAGTCGGGATAGAAAAATAACAACAAAAACAAGCACAGAACAGGTTAGGCCCTAGTTTCCAAAGCTCTTCCAAGAAAAGGAGTAGGACTGGTCAGGATAGGCCTACGGGGGGAGAGCAGGGAGAAGGTCGCTTTAAGGTTTTGAAACGATAGCGATTACATTGGTACAAATGCTTTTACAATGATTCTAGGTGGAGCTTATTATAAATTCAGTGTGTGAAGTCTAACTGCCTTTCCAGTTCAAGTCTGTTTGGCATCTCATTCCAGGAAGTGGGCAGCGTGTGTGAACAATTCGGGGGAGGTGGCTGCCTGGGAAGCTGTGCGCTGGGCAGCGAGAGGTGGCCAGCCTTCCTCCGCTGTGAGGTGGAGCAGGGCGCCATAGGCTGGCAGCCTGGCAGCGGCAGTAGTTGTGCCACATTCAAAAGACGAGAGCCAGTTCAGCCCCGCGGCTTGGCTCAGTGGTTGAGCGTCAGCCTATGACTCAGGAGGTCACGGTTCGATTCCTGGTCAGGGCACATGATCAGGTTGGGGGCTTGATCCCCAGTGGGGGGTGTTCAGGAGGTGGCCCATCAATGATTCTCTCTCACCATTGATGTTTCTATCTCTCTCTCCCTCTCCCTTCCTCTCTGAAATCAATTTAAAAAAATAAGATGTAATTTAGAAAAAGAACCAGTTAAAAAACAAAAACACATAGAGAATACCAAATATGGGCTGGACACTGTGTCCAGAGCCCAAAGGTCCCAACTCGAGGTCGTCAGAATATCTGGGTATATTCTTCTGAGACAAACTTGCTTCGAGTCCCTGCCCCTCTTCGTCAGTGAGAGAGAGATTGCTGTCCCATCCCTTCTCCCGCAGGTCTGTGAGAACGAGGGAAACTGGGGAGGGAAGAGGGAGGATATATGAGTGCCTGGGCAGCTGGGCTGGCGTGTGTGTGGAGGGCATCCTGTGTCAATGTGCTCCTGTGTGTGCTCAGCAGCCCAGGGACACGTGGACCCTGGAGAGAGAGGCACCTCTGAGATTCAAAGTGAGAATCTCCAATCATGATCATTGTCATCGTCTCTGCAGCTAAATAGCTTGGGGTGAGAGGTGTGCCCACCAACCACCTGCTGTGCCCAAGTTACTAAAAATAAATCACCAAGACAATTAAGAGCCCCTGCTTGGAATCTGGGGTTCACCTGCAGGATGGGGGAGAAGCGGCGTCACTCTAAGCATGCTGCCTTCCTGGAGTTCTGAGGCCAGGGCGGACAGGGGCGAGGGGAAGAGACGCAGAGGCAAAAACCCGTGGGGAAGAAAAGAGATCAAGAGGCAGTGGGAGACACAGGAGAGGAACATCCACAGACACCGCACAGAGGGGGGATTTCAGGGTCACAGAGGCGTCCCCAGGGCGGAGTGCCGTCTGTGGCTCGTCATGGAGCACAATCAGAGGACACCTGCTCTGTCTGATGGGCCTTTCCTGTGAGTGGGGGGCGGGGAAGGGGGTCATGGAGGGCAACCCCATCCTTGCTCACCCAGGAGGACAGCCCCATCCTTGGGCAAACCTGTTCCTGATGTGCCAGGGAGCAAAGAACCAAGGGCCCTTCTCCTTGAGGGGTGCAGGAGCCGGGGCCAGGCCCAGGGAGACGCTCACAGCCTGAGCGGGCCACTGTCTCAGTTTTCCTCAGATCCCTCACCTGGAGCAGCAAAAGCCACATCCCAGGAAGGCCTTCAGTCTAGGCAAACAGGGCTGGGTCGGTCTACAGGGATGCCCAGCGGGGTCCCTTCACCAGGGCTTCTCAAACCTTGCTCTGCATAGGAGTCGCCTGGAGCCTGGTTAAAATGCAGCTTCCACGGCAGCAGGCCTGGGCAGGGCTGAGATTATGCATCTCTAACACATTCCCGGCTGGTGCTGCTGGCCGACAGACCACAGGCTTTGAGAGCCTGCTTCTCTCCTGTCCTAATCAGGGGACATCCTGAAAGAAATGAGGTGTCGGGTTCAGCTGTGATGGACTCGAGAAGAGTCTGTGTCTGGTGGGAAGAGAGTGAGTGGACTGGGTGTGAGCCTCCTGCCTCAGCCCTGTGTCTCTCCCTGGCAGATCCCGAGTCTCGGACCCCTGCTCAATGCGATCACTAGCCACAACCCGTTCTCCGTGGTGAACGAATTGATCAAAATTCTGAGCCAGGCTCGCAAGGGTAGGAAGCAGCCTAGGGAGAGGGATGTGGGGGGGCGGGGGTGAGGTGGTGGGCAGGAGACTGGCTCAGGGAAGAATGGAGAGTTGTGACCTGAAGCCCCCTCGTCACCACTTTCCAGATCCCACACCCTTGTTCTTGTTTTCACAGACCCGAAGAAACGGTCCTTCCTCCAGAAACGTGAGTAGCCTCTTCTCCCTCCCTGTCTCTGCCAACCACTGGCCCGGAGCTCCGAGGGCATGGGGCCCAGTGACCGATGGTTCCTGGGGACAACGCTGGCCCTTTCCTGCAGGTGACATGCACGACTTCTTCGTGGGACTCATGGGCAAGAGGAATACCCAGCCAGGTAAAAGTGTGGCAGGGTTTAGGGGACTGGCCAGGACATGCAGGAGTCAAAAGCCTCATATTTGTCCTCAGAGGGAAAGACAAGACTTCTCTTAGCTACGGTGCGGGTTCCTGGGCCCTTTCTACCCAGTCCGCTTGGAGCCGCAGTGCAGTGTTCCCTGGGAGCCGCTGCCCTGGGAGACCTTTATGATACGATGGTCCTGCTGCAGGGGGGTGGGTTAGGGAGGCGCTGCTTCCCCCCATCGCCCACACCGAGCATGGAGCATGGAGCGTGCCGCTGCTTCCCAGCTGTGTCTCCCAGGGTGCCCTTCATAGCCAGCCCTTCGTTGTTGTTCAGGGTGAAGGTCACATCCAGAAAGATCCCCCCTAACGACAGTTTTCTTCACCCAGGCACGCCTGCCCATGTGAACCAAGAGGGCGCCCCTCGCTCCGGCAGCCTCCAGTACCCGTCCCAGGTGGAATGAGGTAAGGGGTGCTGGGTGCGGGGAGGAGCGGGACTGTGTGCATGCAGGCTGCCGGGGAAGCATTGCCTCTGATGCTACAGGCATTGCTACTCATAAATTCGCCGTAAAATACACTGCCAGTCCCAGCACACTGTCAAACACACCAACGCTTAGAGGCACGTGCTTGTCCGAGACACCACACCACACACACACACACATACACCACACACATGTCAAACACACCAACGCTTAGAGGCACCACACCACACACACACACACACACACACACACACACACACACACACGGCCCTCGTTTTCATCCCATCTCTGTCCCCTGGTGCTTTTCTTTTTCTTTTTTAAATTGTTTTATTGCTTAAATTATTACAAACAGTATTACATATGTCTCCTTTTTCCTGCCCTTGACAATCCCCTGGCCTCCCCTACCCCCCAGTGTCTTATTCCCC